CACAGACTGTGACCACACCACCCAAGTCTTGGAAGGCAGACGCCTTGGAAGATACAGGGACTGTGGCCCACTGTAGGAGAGGATCTGGTTCAAGACCATCTTCAGAACCTGAACGTACACAGGTCCATTCATGGCAGTCAGGCAAAGTTCCCAATGACTGGAAAAAGGGAAATATAACCCCCATTTTCAAGAAGGGGAAAATGGATGACCCAGGGAACTACAGACCAGTCAGTCTCACTTTTGAGCCTGGCAAAATCTTGGAGCAGATTCTCCTGGAAGGCATGCTAAGGCACATGAAAATCAACAAGGTGCTTGGTGACAGCCAGCATGGCTTCACTAAGTGGAAATCCTGCCTAACCAATTTGGTGGCCTTCTATGATGGGGCTACGGAACTGATGGACAGGGGTAGAGCAGTTGATGTCATCTACCTGGATTTGTGTAAAGTGCTCGACACTGTCCCACACGACATCCTTGTCTCTAAAATAGAGAGCCATCAATTTGATAGGTGGACCACTCGGTGGATAAAGAACTGGCTGGATGGCGGCACGCAAAGAGTTGTGGTCAATGGCTCAATGTCCAGCTGGAGACCAGTAATGAGTGGTGTCCCTCAGGGATCGGTGTTGGGACCAGTCTTGTTTAACATCTTTGTTGCTGACATGGACAATGGAATGGAGTGCACCCTCAGCAAGTTTGCCCATGACACCAAGCTGTGTGGTTCAGTTGATAGGCTGGAGGGAAGGAATGCCATCCAGAGGGACCTTGACAAGCTTGTGAGGTGGGCTGATGCCAGCCTGATGAAGTTTAACCATGGCAAGGGCAAGGTCCTACACCTGGGTCAGAGCAATCCCAGGCACAGCTACAGGTTGGGCAGATAAGAGATTCAGAGCAGCCCTGTGGAGAAGGACTTGGGGGTCCTGGTTGATAAGAAAATGAAGACGAGCCAGCTTCAGTGTGTGCTTGCAGCCCAGAAAGCCAACCGTATCCTGGGTTGCATCAAAAGGAGCATGACCAGCAGGTCAACGGAGGTGATCCTGCCCCTTTATTCTGCTCTCGTGAGACCTCACTTGGAGTACTGTGTGCAATTCTGGTGTCCTCAACATAAAAAGGACATGGATCTGTTGGAACAAGTCCAGAGGAGGGCCACGAGGATGATGAGGGGACTGGAGCACCTCCTGTATGAAGATACGTTGAGAAAGTTGGGGCTGTTCAGCCCGGAGAAGGCTGCATGGAGACCTCAGAGCAGCCTTCCAGTATCTGAAGGGGGGCTATGGAGATGCTGGGGAGGCACTCTTCATTAGGGACTGTAGTGATACGACAAGGGGTAAGGGGTTAAAGCAGGGGATGTTTAGATTGGATATAAGGAGGAAGTTCTTTACAGTAAGGGTGGTGAGGCACTGGAATGGGTTGCCCAGGGAAGTTGTGAATGCTCCATCCCTGGCAGTGTTCAAGGCTGGGTTGGACAGAGCCTTGGGTGACATGGTATAGTGGGGAGGTGTCCCTGCCCATGGCAGGGGGTTGGAACTGGGTGATCTCAAGGTGCTTTCCAACTCTAACTATTCTATGATTCTAAAATCCCATTGTCCTTATGCAGAGTAAGTGACAGGAACAGATAGTGGTGTTCAGAAAAACACAAGCTGTGAAACAGCAGGTCGAGGAAAAACTCAGAAAGAATAATGAGCAAGAGCAGGCATAGAGCCAACTACAGCAAAGTTCTGTCCAGGCTTAGAGACCAGGAACTGTACCTCCATGGAGCTCACAGGCATAAGGGTAAAGCATGTGTGCGGAAGGCCCAGGTGTGAGGCTTTTCAGGGCAGATGGAGCTTATTGGTGCAGGGCACTCAGGTCCCAGAAAACTCCTTTTAAGACATCCCTTGACACTTGATTTTCATTCTTTGTGTGCAAGGGCTGCAGTCTATGTTCTCAGTGTGATGAGACAGACCTTGGTGGAGCTGGGAAGTCTAAGAGTTATTTTTCACCAAGGAGTAACAGAAAGCAGCTCTATTCATGAGCTCTCTGCTGTGTAACCAGTTGCTCAGAACAGGATAGATCTCTACTGAAAACCCAGCTGCTGAGGTGTGAATTGCATGGGACTGAGAAAATACATCTGAGAGAAGGAGCAACAATGAGACAAATAATGTTAACATGTTTCAAGAAAGGATCCCAAGTAAGAAGCTTATGGATGTGAACAAAGGAGTTGTCTTCCAGTACCTGACTTCTTCCATCCCAAGGAACCAGAAATGCATACATACACAATAGTACATTTGAAACAGAACTTGCTTTCTGCTGCTGACAGGCGAAACATGTAAAGAACCATTCTTTGTCTCACAATATGAGTAAAATAAAGGTTTGCTGTATTTAGCACCTGCATATCTTTGACTGATAAGTAGACTGACGTCTGCAGTCTTGCAGACCTGCCCTTAGCTATTTTACTGGAAAGTTCTGAGCACACATTGTCCAGAAAATAGGAATCTTCAAGGTATCTTAAACTGGACACCCAGAATCATTGAATAACCATAGGTTCCAGTGGATATTTTCAATGCTTCAGAGCTGAGAATAACAGTCTCCAACGGGCTTTGGTTTCTTGTTCATTATCTCATAGGTGTGTTGCTTCCCATAGGAAACATTAAGCATAAGAAGTGCATGTATGTGTCTAATCTCTCAGAGGAGAGCATCAGGTGCGGGGCAAGAGCAGACAAGCCCTTCGCATTCTTTACACAGCAGAGGCAGCCAGAAAAGTCAGCCTGATAGTTTATACTGAAGTTCAAGTTAATTCCAAGGTTGGATTTTGAATGCCCCTTAAGGAAAGTAGGAGATTTTAATAATATGCAAGTATTAATTAGAAAATCTTAACATGAACGCCAACAGTGATTGGCATATGCTCCTTTGTAAGATCAGATGGCGTATTAATATAGGTAGTTAAAACCTTTAGTTGCAAAAAGACCACAGTGAATCTCATTTTCATACAACCGGCAGTATGTTTTAGAGGATAATCTACACATTTCTTACCTTTTGCAGATGATGAGGATGACTGTCTCTAAACTTTTTATATAACAGCAACTAAAAGGTGATATTCTTGTCCACCTGAGCTCCTTACATCTTCCCACTGCTACAAACACTTTTGCAACAGGAGAGCTGACCTAAAGCTTTCAGCAGGTTTAATAGATTTTGTTTAAAGTTCAGAATGAGACTGATACCATTCTGTTAAACAAGTTATAGTGATGATATTTCAATACAATGACACAGTCACTTCTGCATCACAACTATGGTGTGACAACAGGGCTACAACTTAAAGCGGGGGGAGACACATCACAGTGTGAAGATCTGGGGTAAGAAAAATAATGCTTTTCTGTGAAGGAGGCACTAAATAGTTGATCTGGACAAGATAAGCAGATAGGGGATCTACAATTCTGGCTACTCAGGACTGCCTCAGGCAAGCAAGGACTTTTACTTGCATTTTAAGTGATCTCACAAAGGTCTCCTCGAGTTTGGCTAGAGGTAAGGTACAGTGCATCAAAACCTACTCACCTTTCTGATCTAGTCCTGGTTCCAGTCAGAATATTTTTGAATGCTTCCAGTGATTTAAGCCCCTAATGTATTCACAGTTTGAACTAATACAGAATAGAAAAACCCCATATATCATGCTGGGAAAACACACGGTTTGCACGTGTATTTGTATTCATTTTTCAAACTATTTGTATTTCTTTTCACCCAGTGAGGGCTTAATGGTTTCACCATGAATACTTGTCCATTCACATGCAAATTTAGCATGCAGATAAAATTTGACAAAATTTTCCACAAAGAAGAGATTGTATTTTATGCTGTGACATTTCTGTTCTTTATTTCCTGGAGTGTTAGACACTTCTAAAAGACAGAATAGATAAATTTGGTATGGAAACGTTCATTTCAGAAGGAAGTGTGCCTTTTTCAAAGCGAAGGGAAAATATTACAATAACTAAGAAAATAATTAATAATACTTAGCAATTTCAAACTGTCTTTCCTCCAAGTGGCTCAAAAGCGTATTGCAAAGAATAGCCAACACTGTGTCTCTAACACCCCACCCCCCCCCCCCAACAAAAAGGGATTTCTGCAGCAAAGGGAAAGCTGGTGCCCGTAAGAGCATGTACTTTGATGCAAATGTGAGAGATGGAAGCACACAGAAGAACTGAAAAAGTGCCTAAGCATCTGAGAGCCCCTTGAACAAGATCTGCCTAAGCGAACATCTCCAGGGAAGGCACATTCCTCAGTGGATCAGGGGCTCACAGCAGACAGTGGCATACAGTGGAGTTTTCTCGAGGCGGGGAAACCCAGGCGAGCACCAAGTCCTGCTGGGAATCAGGTGGGGCCACCCTAAGCTCCTGCAAAAGGCAGCGCTGGGAACACAGAGAACAGGGCATAGAAGGGTGTGCAGGGAGGGCAGGCACCTCTTGGAAGGAGAGACATTCCAAGGCCGCCTGCACAGGTCAGGGCACACATGTCATGTAATCCTCAAGGAAGAAAGGTGGGCACTTATCAGAGAGCAAAGGCTGCGGCTCCAGCACGGTGACCTGCACCATCTACGTTGGTGGTGGCCAGTGCCTTTGCTTGGATGGAGTGGCTGAAGGGGATGCCTGCAGTGGAGGAGGTTGTGAGGCACTGGAACAGGATGCCCAGAGAAACTGTGGATGTGTGGCCCTGACTTCTGTGCACTCTGTCAGCGGTGCTCCCAACGACCATGGCCGGGCCGATGAGGGTGGCCGGGGCGCAACCGCTGCCCAGCAGCTCCCGACTGGCCTATCCACGCTGCGTGTGAAGGACACCGTGGCCTTGGAATTGTGGTTAAAACTTTAATCAGAAAGATGCATTTTCTTAAACAGGGCTTAACTGCTGCCTGGCTTTTCAGAAGGAGCAGCACAGCGCCCGCCGGATCCATCCCCGTCTTGGCTGCTCGTGTAAACAGGTGAGGATGTGCATTGTCTGAGCTGCCAGGTATGAGATCTGGGGTTCGTCTTCAAGTACCAAATCATGGAGGGCTGCAACAGAAGGAAAGAGAGCAGAGCTGAAACCCAGCAATCTGCAGAGGCCAGCAGGCATCCCTTCCAGACCATGCCAGCCCCAGCCATCCCTTTCCCCGGTCAGGAGGCGCAGGTGGGGCAAACGGATCACGTGGAACCTGCTGCTCAGGAATGCAACAAATGCCCCCGAGATGTTCCCTGGAGCAGGACAGGGCATGGCAGCACGCTGCCCAGGCTCTGTCCCCTGCCCCACCAGCCCCAGCACACACAGCACTGTCCCTGCTTACCTTCCCAGACCTTCAGAAGCATGTCCCTGCTGTTGTCCTTCAGGCACCGCGCGGCCAGCCCTGTGCAGAGAGCTCCATCAGACCCACTGCTGCCCAGCACGCTCCCGGCAGCACGGCCCTGCCTCTGCCGGTTTGGCTGCACCCCTTCTTCCCCTCAGCAGGGTGACCCCAGGGAAGGACAGGACCCAGGGGGAGGTGGCACTGAGCAAGGTGCCACTGAGCCCCGCTGCGAGGGCAGGGGGTGGAGGGGGAAGCACAGATCCCCTGGCTGCACAGGCCTTGCACGGGGCAGTCGATGCTCTGGCAGCCACAGGGCTGCTCCTCGCTGCCAGTGCAGCAGATGGGACTGGGGCCAGGCTGCCAAAAGAGGGACTCCAGTGGCTGCGGCTTACCGATGAACCTCACGGCTGCCAGTCTCACGCTGACCTGAGCGTGCTGCAGGTAAAGCAGGCTCTGACCCACGTATTCTTCAGCTCTGCTCTGCTCCTGCTCCAGCTGGAAAGAGCACAAAGGCCCAGGGCTGACACAGAGCTTCCCCAGTCACCTGGGCTGTTCTCTCCTACCAGCACTCCACACCTCCCCTTGTTCCTCAGGCCGCATGCATCTCCCAGCCAGGAGGCCTGTGGGGCTGAGGCTCAGAGACAGCCTCAGGCAGGGCAGGGTCTGGAGCTCCTGAGAGCCCCCTGTGCCACCACCAGGGCCCAAATGGGCCTCCTGCAACAACCTGAGGGTGGGGAGGTGAGAGGACCACCCTGTGTCCAGCCTGGGACTTGTCCTCACCAAGAGCTCCACAGTTCTCCATCTCTCCAGTGTCTCCACATGGGGACTTAGCCCTTTGCATTTGAGCACCTTCGCAGCTGCCCAAAGGGCTTCCTGAGAGGCCTGCAGGGGGGGACAAGGATTGTTGAGATTGTGGACAGGGATAGGGACCCGAAGGCCTGGCCCCCAGCACATGCAGGGACAGTTGGGAAGCCCCTGCAGACTCCACTCTTCAGGCCTTGGTGGTCATGCCCTGCTGCTGAGCCCTGCTGGACCACGTAGGGTAGGTGTGGGAAATGTCCGTGTCAGCTGCTCCTGCCCTCCCTGATGCCCAGGCCACCCCTGTGGGCTCAGCACGCCCTCCCCCACACCACTGCTTAGGTTTGGAATCTGTACCTTGGCCACGCTCTCCATCTCATCACTCATGTGCAACACGAGTGGGACCAGGCTCCTCCGCACCTTCTTCTGCATCTGCCGCTTGTCCTTCCAATCCGCCATCTGTATTATGTCTTTGAAGAGGCAGATGGAGAGCTCTCGTATCTGGCTGCACTCCTGGTAAGGAGGAGGACAGGAGGACTTCAGTAACAGCTGCTCCCTGAGCCAGGGCATCAGCGTGGTTGAGGGGAGGGGCCTCAGGTCTCCCAGAGCCATCAGCCTGTGAGGGAGCAGCTGGGCTGGGATGCAGAGACCAGAAACCATCCCCACGAGAGCGCAGGGGCATGAGGAGGGGCATAGCCCTGAGCAAGCGCTGTCGCCAGGCTGTGCTGCCAGGCAGTTGTTCTTGCAAAGGGCCCATCAGTGGGACTAGGTTTCCACAGCAGCCTTACATCATCAAAGAGATGACGGAGCCGCCTGGCCAGCTCCAGAGCGATGGATCTGGCCTGCTTCTTCAAATGACCCATCACGTTTCTGAATATGAGCAGGGCCCTCATCTTGTCGTCACTGTGGACACTGAGCAGGATGTTCGTCAAGTCTGGCAGCATGACCAGTATTTTCCTTGCCTGTAAGAAGCACAGAGTTTCTTTCTTGTGAAGTGGTGAAAGACCACCCAGGCCAAAATGCTCTGGCCGTTAAGCAGCAGCCTCCCGTCTGGGTGCATGGGAAGTGGCACAGGAATTCCCGCAGCAGCCTCCAGGCAGGCCTTGCCCGTGGGTGCACTGAGGGGATGGGGGCACGTGAGGGGACTTTGAGGGCATTTGGAGCCGTCACCCCAGCTCCCGACTCCCAGCCCAGGTCAAGCCACCGCATTCCCCACTGCCCAGCCCCAGGCGGCCAGCATGGCTTCACTTGACTATGCCCGGCTCACCGAGTCAGGTGACTCTGACAGTGTGACGAGGCCATGGAGCAGCATGGAGAACAGCCTTGGAGGCAGCAGCAGCTTCCGGATTTTGTACACCCCAGCAAACATGTTTGGTGTCACATGGCTGGAGGCCAGCAGCTGAAACAAAGATGGCAGTGAGAGACCGACCAAGCCTGCAGGGCTCTCCGCACAGTACAGCCCCTGGGTCCCACTGGGGCTCAGGGCAAGGGCACCGGGGATGGAGAGCGTGTCCTAGGGGACACTCGGCGCTTGTGGGACACACCACACGCTTGTCTGTGCTGGTTCCGCCTGTGCAAGCAGAGCACTGCCTGGGCAGACAGGGGCTTTGTGCACCCGCACCCAGAGAGCGTGGCCCTGCGTGGCTGGGGCAGGGGAACCTGGTGCTGGGCTGGCCCTAAGGGGCTGTGTCCTCCTCTGTGACCATTTGGGGCAGGTGGCAGGGGAGAGGGCCGTGCCTGTTTTCCTGGAGAGGCAGGCACGGCCCTGAGCACGAGCAAGGACCGGGCTGGTTACTCACAGCCAAGAGCTGGATGCACACATCCACGCTGTGGGACCTGAATCTCCATTGCACACTCAGGTAGTGGAACCTCATGTTCAGCTCCCTCAGGACGTTCTCCAAGATGAGACGCCGGGACAGCAGCACTTCCCACATGGCCATAGCAACACTGCAGACACAGAGCACTCTGTCGGCAGGGCCACCCCAGCCACCACACGGTGCCTGGGCCAGTCCTGCAGCAGCCAGGCTGTCCTGAAGCCCTGGCCCTTCCCAACCCCTTGCTTGGAGTGCCCGGGTCCCAGCCTGGGCAGGCAGGAGGCGGCTGAGATAGTGTTCCCCATGGGGTAGGGAGGAACCTCGTGCAGGGACTCGGATCTGGCTTGGCCAGCTTTGGCTACTGCAGGCCTGGCCAACCCAGCAGGGCTGGAGAGAGTGGTGGGGTTCAGGGCCCTGCTCCTCAGGGGTGCCCTGTAGTTTTCTGTGAGCCCCCAGGCCCCTCTCCCCACACGGAACAAACCCACAAGGGCTGTGGGGGTCAGTACCTGTCACATGCTGGAGACAGATGCACAAGTCTCAGGATCGCAGGCGCTGGCCACTGCTGTGCCATCTTTAGAAGCAGCATGTCCAGGGCGTGCTGCGTCGACGCTGTGTTGATGTGCTCCAGGTTGTTGTAGATGCAGGTAACGACGACTGGCACCTGGAGGGCACACGAGTGAGGGTGGTGCTGCCACCAGACTGGAGCCATTCCCTCAGCTGCCACTGAAATGGCCGCCCTTCCCGTCCTACTCTGCTGGCATGAAATGGCTTCAAGGTGCCTGAGGCACCTGCGTGAGGGAAGGCCCGATGTAGGGAGGAAGAGTGCCTGAAAGGGCTCAAGGGCAGGGCAGCCACACGCTGCTTACCTCTGTCAGCCAGGAGGCAGGATCTGTCATGGCCACATCCACAATGCTGATCAGTTCCTCCTTATCGCATATGCATGAGTCTCTCATGGCCTCGATGGCCTTGAGAAGGATGACCGTCTTATCAGGGGGGTGGAGGTATTCCCCAAATGCCTGCGGGAGGAAGGAAGGCAGGGAAGACGTCTCACACCGAGTGCCCTGATAGTGCTGCTCAGCAGCTGCAGTCGCTGCGGGGTGGAGGATGAGGAGAGAGGGGCCCAAGGTGAGGGAGGAGGGCTGGGGCCGCGGGCATGGTGTGCTGGCCCTACAGAGAAGCAGGGCTTCCTGGCGGCCAGGAGAGCTGGAGCTGCTGCTGGGACACCGGAGTGCAGCCCTCTGGAGTCCCTGCTCCAGAGCAGCAGCAACCCTCTCACCAGGGACAGTGAGACCATGCCAAGCCTGCTGGTTCTGGGCCCCTTTGCTCACACCAATCTCCTGCTGATGCCCTGGACAAGGCCCAGCAAGGGAGAAGCTCATTACCTTGACAATGCTCCTGGTGCTGCACAGGGAAAGCCAGGAGGGTTTCCTGGCTTTCCTTTTGCCTTCACACAAAGGTGTGAGGAGATGCTTTAGGCTGTCCTCTGGTGATGTCACACCTAAACAAGAGGGGATCACAGAAGAGTCATTAGGACACAGCATTGCTTGCCATCAGTGACGGCTTTGGCTATGGGGACCATGGAACAGCTGGGTTCTGAGAGGTCCTGAGAAGAGTGGGAAGGAGAGCAGCACAGAACTGGACTTGTGGTGAGCATTCAGCTTCTGCAGTAAAATGATAGCTGGGATGCTGTGGGAAAGCAGCTGTGAGGGCCAAAGGAGGTGAGGGAAGAGGGCAGGCTTTCCTGGACAACTTCCAGCAAGTACAAAAGGAATCCACTGCAATGCTCGGGGAAACAAGCAGGACTACGAGGAGATGTCTGCGTGTGGAGGGACGCAGCCCGACACTGCTTCTCTTACATTTTTCCTGCTGGATGACTCTGAAGAGGTAATGAAGAGCATCCAAAGCCTCATGCTGGATCTCCCAGATCTTGCTAGTCCAGCAAACAATGAGATGTCCCAGCAGCTGTCCCAGGAGGCGGTCATGGATAGCGTCGCCGTGGGAAGAGCTGTTGTCACCTCCAAGCAAGCTCCAGACCTGGTCAAGGGAAGCAGGATGGGTAGAAGGGCTGAGAGGCAGCAGCTGCGACAAAAGCCCTGAACGGAGAGTCTGCCCCGGGGAAGGATCCTGGCAGGTCAGAGCTCTGCAGGGCCCTCCCAAAGCACCAAGTTGGGCAGCAGGGCAGGGAGAGCTGCCAGGCCTGGGCCCCCGCCATGCTCCTTGGGCAGTGCTGTCCTGCACAGGACCGGGGCCCGAGATGGCTCCTGGCAGAAAGGGCGCTGGGGAGGGAAGACCGTGGGAAAAAGAAAGAAGCCGAGACCCTTGCCCAGGGCAGAGCCGTGCTGAATGCCTCAGGCATCTCAAACTGCAGGCTGATGCCCACGGTGGGCAGGGAATGGGAGACAGCCTGGCTGGAGGGTGCCTGCCTCCTTACCTGCACTGAGGAAGAGCTGTCCATCAGATCAGCCAGCTTCCCAATCCTCACCACGGCCCTTTCGCATGCAGCTGCATTCTTAGTGTCGGTGAAAGGCAGCAGCAACTGGAAGGAGAGAAAGTGCTGCTGTGCCCTGGGAACGGGTGCCTTTGCCAGCAGCAGCAGCAGCCCTGCTCAAGTCCCGACTGGACCCATGAAGTCTTTGTGGCCCTGAAGGGAGGCAGATGCCAACCCAGGGTAGAGTCTGCTTCTTTCTGTGCCCTCCCCAAAAGCACAGGCCTGTGTCCCCTCTCCATGAAGGCTCAGCTCTTGGGCAGCACCCTGCCAGGGGTTGGAGGGGCTGCAATGGGGGAATGGGCATACGGCTCTCTAGGAAGCCAGGAGTGCAGAGCGTCAGGGCTGGGCTCCCTGTGCAGGAGAGGCAGGTTCCAGTGGGTCTCTGCCCCAGTCAGACCTGGGCAGAAAAGCAGGAGGGACTGCGAGGCAGGGGAAGAAGGACAGCACCCGCAGCCACTGCTGTGGTGCCTGAGGAGAGGGGTCAATGCTTCCCACTCCTTTGGTGCGAGGAAAGCTCTGGGGATGGAGCTGGCCCAAAAGTGCCATGGGCTGGGCTTTGCCATGGTACAGAAGGAGGCTGCAGAGGGGAAATGACGCTGACTGCAGCCAGGGTCACGCTGCTCCTGGAAGAGCACGGTGGGCCATGTCTGGGTCCCCCAGGGGAGCTGAGCACCCTTCCTGCGGTGTGCTGTGTGCGTGGTGCTGGGGAGGACACCGTCCACTCCAGAGTGGACACTCCTGTCCCTCCAGGGTGAGCAACAGCCCCTGCGAACCCCACTCTCTGCCAGTGCCGCACCTGCAAGATACTCTTCAGCTCCCCACAGCCAGGGGAGCTGAGCACCAAGCTCTGCAGCAGGATGTCCATGGCATCCAGGGTCTGCAAGGAGGAGAAAGGTTGTGTCAGTCTTTCTGCAGTCCCTCTCTCCCTAGGGACGGGTCTAACTCCCCCCACCAGGGGAGGACACCCCTGCCACCTCTGGTTGGCTAAGGGAGGCCTTGGGGCAGACAAGCTGCGGTGGGCAGAGGAGCCAGTCCAGAGGCACTGGACATGGCGAGGCCCAGGGGAAGGAGACGAAGGGACGAGGGAGGGAAAGCAAAGCTGACACCCTGCCGTGCCTTGGATCTCTGGCTGTGTCTCAGCACGTGGCAGCCAGGGAGCAGCTCTGAGTGCTCCTGACAGCACAACAGCACTTACATCAAAGTAGAGGGAGCTGTCTAGGCCCTGCATGTCTGTTTTAGGAGGAAGCAAGAAGACACTCCTGAAGCAGGCCTCTAAAAGGCTTTCCTTCATGCCCCCCAGTGCCATGTCCACTTGGCTGAAAAGAGAGAGAGGGGGAACTGTGAGACGTGGGCGCTGGGAGCGCTGCCTCCATGCCTTGGGCAGGTGGACACAGACCTGTGGAGCAGAGGCCCGCAAGAGGGATGGAGCCCTGGTCTGCAGGAGCCAAACCAAGGGCTGAGCACATACATACCTCATATCGGCGAGGGCAAGCATGGCTTCCTGCCGCACGGCTGTGCGCAGGTGGTCCATGGGCTCCTCTTCCACCAGTGCCTGCAGAACACAACCGGGATGGGACCTGGTGGCCACCAGCACCAGGCTCTGCCCCCAGCCCAGCACTGGCCCCCGGCATGGCCCTGCTGCAGGGCTGCTCAGCGACACGCACATCCCCTCAGGCAGCTCAGTGTCTGTCCGTGCACGTTGGTCCCCGCCCTCCCCCTGCATGGGCCCTGTGTGTCCTCACAGTGTGCTGGCGCCTGGCAACTTGCCCCCTTCCCCAGAGCAGCCGGGTGTGCCCTCACCTCGATGTTCTTTGCCACCTGAAATCGGTGATAGAACTCCTTCAGTTCCTGTGAGAAGCCCTCATCTCTGGCAGCCTCGCTCAGGGTGGAGATGGTCTGCAGGAACTGGATCTTCTGAGCCTCCTCCTGGGCAGCGGGGAGCAGAGACACAAACGGGCAGTGTGAGAAGGGGCCAGCAGGACTGGAACAGTGGAGCTGCAGTGCTGTGCAGGAACCCGGGGGAGCAGCCCCTCCCAGCCAGCAGCCCTGGCAGTGGAGCCGGTGGCCCCGTCAGGAATCGCAGACACTGCTACCCTGGAAATGGCTGCAGTTACCTTCACTGAGCTCTCCAGAAAAGTCTGGATGAACTGCATGCACGCAGCGTGTTCCTCCATCATCCTCTTCAGACAAAGGTATAGGGTGGGGAATGAAGAATGTTCCAAGAAGTGTCTCGGCACCGCGGGGCTGCTGGGGCAACAGGGAGCAATGTGGGCTGCGCTCAGGGGTCTGCACCAGTCTTGCGCTCCCGCTCTGTCCCGTCACCGTCCTGCCGGACACTGCCACGAGGGGTATGAGCCGTTGCCTTTTATAGAGTGGCCGGGGGGGTCACCAAGGGCGCGTCACAAAGGGCACCATGGTGGGTCATAAAGGGAACGTCACCGAGGGCACCACGGTAGGTCATAAAGGGTGCGTCACTAAGAGCACCATGATGGGTCAGAGAGGGCATGTCACTGAGGGCGCCATGGTGGGTCACGAGGGACATGTCACAAAGGGCTGGTCACAGAGGGCACCATGGTAGCCCACCACTCAGACTATAAGGGACAGGGTATTCCTGTGAGGGGCACAAGGCCTGTTCTCCCCTGGTCACTTGAGTCCCCTTGGGGTGCCCTGAGCCCCATGTTTTGCTCACGTCATATGGGGTCTTGTTACGGCAAGATAACTGGCATGTGTCATGATGTTCACAGCCAGACTAGTCAAGAGGTGTCAAAAAGACCTTGAGTAGAACTGCACGTGCACGATTCAGTTCAACGTGTGTTAAACTGAAAGAGAAAAAATTCTAAGGCAATGTTTTTCACTTGCTTTTTCTGTTTTTCAGTTACAAAAAAGCAATGATTAGGCTGCATTTTGTAGGAAGAAAATAACTGCCAAAAGCTTCAGCTAGATTTTGAAAATATTCTGTTTCTCTGGATGATAACCAGCAAGTTTTCTGCAGCAATGAGCTCTGCCATTTAGACTCGAGGAAAAAACGTTGCTTGATACTAAGATGTTCTGGACTAGCAGGTGTCAGTTGAATGTGATTTTTGAAAGCATAAGGAGTCTTTTTGGCTACACAGCTACAGGTTGGGCAGAGAAGAGATTCAGAGCAGCCCTGCAGAGAAGGACTTGGGGGTGAAGGCTGATGAGAAAATGAACATGAGCTGGATTGAGTGTCCGCTTGCAGCCCAGAAAGCCAACCACATCCTGGGCTGCATCAAAAGGAGCGTGACCAGCAGATCAAAGGAGGTGATCTGCCCATCTGTTCTGCTCTTGTGAGACCTCACTTGGAGTATTGTGTGCAGTTCTGGTGTCCTCAACATAAGAAGGACATGGAGCCGTTGGAACAAGTCCAGAGGAGGGCCACGAGGATGATGAGGGGACTGGAGCACCTCCTGTATGAAGACAGGCTGAGAAAGTTGGGGCTGTTCAGCCTGGAGAAGAAAAGGCTGCGTGGAGACCTCATAGCCGCCTTCCAATATCTGAAGGGGGCTTATAATGATGCTGGGGAGGGACTCTTCATTAGGGACTGTAGTGATAGGACAAGGGCTAACAGCTTAAAACTTAAAAAGGGGAAGTGAAGATTGCATATAGGGAGGAAGTTCTTTACTATAAGGGTGGTGAGGCACTGGAATAGGTTGTCCAGGGAAGCTGTGAATGCTCCATCCCTGGTGGTGTTCAAGGCCAGGTTGGACAGAGCCTTGCAGTGACATGGTTTAGTGTGAGGTATCCCTGCTCATTGCAGAGGTGCTGGAACTTGATGCTCTTAAGGTCGTTTCCAACCCTAACTATTCTATGAAATAAAAATGGTGTGCCTAACTTCCCCTTCCTTGTTTGATGACTTTGTACTTCTTGGTCTTCTGTTTATTACTGAGTCGAACTTAGTATGAGCAGGAGGATGAGACTCAGTCTGGGTAGTGCTGCAGTAAGACCTGCTATTTTCCCAGAGCACTGGTTCTTGGCAGGAGAGCAGTGTCTGTCTCACCTCTGGGACCTTCACTTCTGCCTTCTGTTGATACTTTTGAGGCTGGTAATTTTGAGCATTTTCACACATATGTGTCGCGACTGGAAGAGGGCTGTTGCCCCATCAGATATTTCTTCAAGCTTGTGGACCAGCCTCTTCAAGTCAAAATCACCATAGGCCATAGTGCTGGCAACAGCACCATTTAAAAACTGCATCCAAGCATGGCTCTGTTTTGAACCTGAGCTGGGCAGTGGTTTGACTACAAACAAACTTTACAGACCTCTCAAATACAGCTTGGTCCCTGTGTCTATTTGATTTGGTCCATGCTGTTTTCTAAAGCAGTACAGAAAGAAGCTTCTTTGATCTGCATGCCCTGAAGACTTACGGTTCCAGGAGCTGGATTTTGATCTTGTGCCAGGAGAGTAACTTTGTAAATACTCTTCCATGGGGTAGCTTTTACTCTGCCTGTAGGATTCCTTTGTACCACTACTGGTAACAATGGATTTGCTGCTAGCTCAGAGTACCTTCCAGAACACTGTAGCCAGTCTGTATTGCTTTTGGTATTTCAAGAATCAAGTCATTTCCCTGAGTGTTCCTGTGATTTACAGAAGCAGGTTTGAACAGATGTAGCAATAGGGCTCAGTTTGAGTTTGAAGAGCTTACATTGATACAGAGCAGCTATTTGCATTCTTATCAAAATAATAAAATACGAAACTTTCTAGAAGTATATAATCTTCAAAATGGTTCCTAGAAGATATTTTGAAACCCCTAGAAGATATTTTAATGTTAGCATGGGCACATGTGACGATTTAACAAGTTACCTTGAGGTAAGAACCTCGCATTTGAGGAGCCACGTTCAGCAGAGCATACTTTGAGGAAGCAGCCACCCCTTCTGGCTTGTGGGGTCTGTTAGCAACACTCAAGCCCCAGATTAATCTGTATTGTGAGTAATGAACAGAAGCAAAGCAAAAAGACTGTGCGTAGAGTGGGAAGGGAGGCTTAACAAAACTTGGTAAATTATTATTATTTTTTTCCTGATCTTCTTTCTAGTGTAATGGCCTCTGATATTTCCTCCCAATGTAAACACCCCACTGTCAATTGGACATGGGTATGGTGCTGCTTTATAATAAAATTATTTAGGGAGAGGAATTGAAAGCTTTTCTTAGTCTTAATTTCTCTCCCTTCTCTGCTCCAGTCACCCTAAAAGAAATAAGCTCAAGCCAGCACTGTGTCAGCAGCTTCCTTGTCATGGAGGAGCAAGAGGAGCAGCAGTGGTGACACAGATGTAGCTGGGAAGCTGAGCTGGTGAAAAGCAGGTACAGGAAGAGCAGATGGTTGAAGAAGTACCAAGGGAGTGTGTTCACAGCTGGGTTTTCTTAGTGCTCTGTTATGTTAGTGTCCTGAAATGTTCCTGTCTATGCCAGCAGCTGTGGGTGGGTGACGGGGGTATAGCTGCGCTGGGACATGGAACTATTCCAGACATGTTGGTCCCACCTGGAACTTCACAGCCAAACATGCACGGAGGCATGTGAGTATCATGTTGGACTGGAGTGGGGGGGAAAGGATCACCTGATTGTGGAACTGGTGATCTCATTGTGTGTGGTGTTTATTTTCGGTGTTGGTTCAGAGTTGTCTGGGTGCTTTTGCTGTTTTCCAGTCAATAGTAAGGAGGATGAAAGCATATGCAGAATATGTGGCCTTCCCTTTGTTTTTCTCCATGCTCTGGTCACCCTTGTGTTTTGAAAAACATTGCGTGCCTCTTTGCATCGGAAATCACCATGGCCTCACGCAGGTGGTGTATTCAATAAGCCAGTCAAATTTTGTTATTTCTACACCTGTATATGGGATGCCTGAAAAATGTGACATGCCCGTCACATAAATAGGAAAACGGCTCTTGTAGGGGACTTGAGTGTAGCTGAAAGCCTCATCCAAATAACACTGTTAGTCACCTGCATATAGAAACATTTCAGTGCCACCCAAGTTTGGAAAACGTGGTTGCAACTAGCTTCCACATGCTGGATAAATGAATAGATACCAGATATTGTCTTACACGTTTGAGTCTTTTAGTAAAATCAATCTGCGACACAAATATTCTACAAATGGCAGTTGTGGGTGAAAGCCTGCATATGTGAAGATTAGTATTTACACAGGAACAGGGCTGGACCTGCACAGGAACAGGGTTGGGGTTTCTCTGATCATCTGAAGTTTCTGGTATTAGTAAAAGCCAGAGAGGTAGTGTACGTCATTGAAGATGCAGTTGTCAGAGATGGAATACCACATACTTTTAAGCTCTGGCTACTGTATCAGTAAAAGCTGAGTTAATTTTCTTAAAAAGAATACCTGGTAATACAACAGACTGATGACATCCGTTTTAGGCATGGATAATAATTAGGCACTCTCAAAATCCATATTTTCATTATAAAAATCTATGCGTTATATTCTGTGTCTGGTTTGGATTTTTTAAATGCAAAACCAGATTGCTCCGTGTGAAGTTCATACCTCTCATTCCTTGTAGCTTGCTTCATCTCTAAAACCTTTCTTCCTCTGACCTCTTACATAGGTTTTTGAAAGCATAGTAAAAGGGCTGGTTAACAAAAGAAAGTAGAATACAAGTTAGTGTGTTGCCATGAGTAGGCATTTAGTGTCTATCTGGAAAAGTAAACCATTGTGTTGAGGGGTTTGTTGTTTTGTTTTGTTTTTAAGTATCCTGTTTATTGTTTGTGGATCGTTGGGAGTGTAGCATCCAGACTGCAAATTTGACATGGTTAACCTGGCATTGCTGGTTCACTATTAGAGTACAAATTCTATGATTGGAATGAAACTTTAAATTCCCATTCTTTAGAGAAACCAAGTTCTCCAAGACCTTATTTTAAGGCACAAGTGAGAACAGAAAACAGTAACTTACTTTGCTCAATATAGGTTTCATGTGTCTGGCAGTTACACCCTTTAGTCACTTGTCAAAGGATCATGGGTCTGAGGATAATAACCAAATGGGCCAGTTCTGTTTGTAGAAGCTGTCTGTGCTTGTTGCAGCTCTCTAGCAGAATCTATTGTGAGCTGTGTAGGTGTTTTCTCTGACTATCAGAATAGTAGACTACCTGAGAAATGGAGCTCAGTCCCATTTTTATAGTACACAGTAGCTACTAACTGGCACAGCAGTTGCACAGGGCCCAAGTCTTCATGTAGTCCTGCAGTTGTTTTGCTCCATAGGTGCTTAAACTCTGCAGATATACTGTAGCACCTCTCAAAGTGATAATGGACTAAGTGTTAAGAAACTAAAGTTGAGATACTGTGGTGTTGGACAAAATGAAACATGCACAGTGTTTAGAATCAAACACAGGCTAGGCTGGAAGTAATACTGACATAGAAATACACAATGTTCATGACTGGACGGAACTTAGGCACATCACTTGATTTTGTCTCATCAAATGCGCTTAAGTAATGGTCTCGTGTGTGTGTGTGTGTGTGTGTGTGTGTGTGTTTTGTTGGGTTTGTTGGGTCCTCCCCCCTCTGGAAAGCAGATGAAAAGAGGTGAAGAAGTACAGTCCTAATACTTGGGAAGGGGGATTGCAGAGATCTGCTCCACTTCCTTCCCTGGCACCTGCCTCAAACGAATTCTGCCCCTGTAGATCTTAAGGGATGAGAAGGAAACGTCTGGAGGGACTCACTTCTATGTGGTTTTGCTCTGGCTAAAGCTGACCCAGCAAGAGGGGAAGATCTCACAGTGGAACAGCTACTGTTTTCTTCTGGTGTCCTCAACATAAAAAGGACATGGATCTGTTGGAACAAGTCCAGAGGAGGGCCACGAGGATGATGAGGGGACTGGAGCACCTCCTGTATGAAGATACGTTGAGAAAGTTGGGGCTGTTCAGCCCGGAGAAGGCTGCATGGAGACCTCAGAGCAGCCTTCCAGTATCTGAAGGGGGGCTATGGAGATGCTGGGGAGGCACTCTTCATTAGGGACTGTAGGGATACGACAAGGGGTAAGGGGTTAAAGCAGGGGATGTTTAGATTGGATATAAGGAGGAAGTTCTTTACAGTAAGGGTGGTGAGGCACTGGAATGGGTTGCCCAGGGAAGTTGTGAATGCTCCATCCCTGGCAGTGTTCAAGGCTGGGTTGGACAGAGCCTTGGGTGACATGGTCTAGTGGGGAGGTGTCCCTGCCCATGGCAGGGGGGTCGGAACTGGGTGATCTCAAGGTGCTTTCCAACTCTAACTATTCTGTGATTCTAAAATCCCGTTGTCCTTATGCAGAGTAAGTGACAGGAACAGATAGTGGTGTTCAGAAAAACACAAGCTGCGAAACAGCAGGTCTAGGAAATATCTCATTTTCATACAACCGGCAGTATGATTTAGAGGATACATGAGGATGACTGTCTCTAAACTTTTTATATAACAGCAACTAAAAGGTGATATCCTTGTCCACCTGAGCTCCTTACATCTTCCCACTACTACAAACACTTTTGCAACAGGAGAGCTGACCTAAAGCTTTCAGCCAATTTAATAGATTTTGTTTAAAGTTCAGAATAAGATGAGACTGATACCATTCTGTTAAACAAGTTATAGTGATGGTATTTCAATACAATGACACAGTCACTTCTGCATCGCAACTATGGTGTGACAACAGGGCTACAACTTAAAGGGGGGGAGACACATCACAGTGTGAAGATGTGGGGTAAGAAAAATAATGTTTTTCTGTGAAAGAGGCACTAAATAGTTGATCTGGACAAGATAAGCAGATAGGGGATCTACAATTCTGGCTACTCAGGACTGCCTCAGGCAAGCAAGGACTTGTACTTGCATTTTAAGCGATCTCACAAAGGACTCCTTGAGTTTGGCTAGAGCTAAGGTACAGCGCATCAAAACCTACTCACCTTTCTGATCTAGTCCTGGTTCCAGTCAGAATATTTTTGAATGCTTCCAGCTCTTTAAGCCCCTAATATGTTCACATTTTGAACTCATACAGAATAGAAAAAAAAACATATATCATGCTGGCAGAACACACAGTTTGCACGTGTATTTGTATTCATTTTTCAAGCTATTTGTATTTCTTTTCACCTAGTGAGGGCTTAATGGTTTCACCATGAATACTTGTCCATTCACATGCAAATTTAGCATGCAGATAAAATTTGACAATTTTTTCCACAAAGAAGAGATTGTATTTTATGCTGTGACATTTCTGTTCTTTATTTCCTGGAGTGTTAGACACTTCTAAAAGGTAGAATAGATAAATTTGGTATGGAAACGTTCATTTCAGAGGGAAGTGTGCCTTTTTCAAAGCGAAGGGAAAATATTACAATAACTAAGAAAATAATTAATAATACTTAGCAATTTTAAACTGTCTTTCTTCCAAGTGTCTCAAAAGCGTATTGCAAAGAGTAGCCAACACTGTGTCTCTAACACCCCCCACCCCACCCCACCCCCCAACAAAAAGGAATTTCTGCAGCAAAGGGAAAGCTGGTGCCCGTAAGAGCATGTACTATGATGCAGATGTGAGAGAAGGAAGCACACAGAAGCACTGAAAGCACACAGAAGAACTGAAAAAGTGCCTAAGCATCTGAGAGCCCCTTGAACAAGATCTGCCTAAGCGAACATCTCCAGGGAAGGCACATTCCTCAGTGGATCAGGGGCTCACGGCAGACAGTGGCATACAGTGGAGTTTTCTCGAGGCGGGGAAACCCAGGCGAGCACCAAGTTCTGCTGGGAATCAGGTGGGGCCACCCTAAGCTCCTGCAAAAGGCAGCGCTGGGAACACAGAGAACAGGGCATAGAAGGGTGTGCAGGGAGGGCAGGCACCTCTTGGAAGGAGAGACATTCCAAGGCCGCCTGCACAGGTCAGGGCACACATGCCACGTAATCCTCAAGGAAGAAAGGTGGGCACTTATCAGAGAGCAAAGGCTGCGGCTCCAGCAGGGTGACCTGCACCATCTACGTTGGTGGTGGCCAGTGCCTTTGCTTGGATGGAGTGGCTGAAGGGGATGCCTGCAGTGGAGGAGGTTGTGAGGCACTGGAACAGGATGCCCAGAGAAACTGTGGATGTGTGGCCCTGACTTCTGTGCACTCTGTCAGCGGTACTCCCAATGACCATGGCCGGGCCGATGAGGGTGGCCGGGGCGCAACCGCTGCCCAGCAGCTCCTGACTGGCCTATCCACGCTGCGTGTGAAGGACACCATGGCCTTGGAATTGTGGTTAAAACTTTAATCAGAAAGACCCATTTTCTTAAACAGGGCTTAAGTGTTGCCTGGCTTTTCAGAAGGAGCAGCACAGCGCCCGCCGGATCCATCCCCGTCTTGGCTGCTCGTGTAAACAGGTGAGGATGTGCATTGTCTGAGCTGCCAGGCATGAGATCTGGGGTTCGTCTTCTCTTATCAAACCATGGAGGGCTGCAACAGAAGGAAAGAGAGCAGAGCTCAAACCCACCAATCTGCAGAGGCCAGCAGGCATCCCTTCCAGACCATGCCAGCCCCAGCCATCCCTTTCCCCGGTCAGGAGGCGCAGGTGGGGCAAACGGATCACGTGGAACCTGCTGCTCAGGAATGCAACAAATGCCCCCGAGATGTTCCCTGGAGCAGGACAGGGCATGGCAGCACGCTGCCCAGGCTCTGTCCCCTGCCCCACCAGCCCCAGCACACACAGCACTGTCCCTGCTTACCTTCCCAGACCTTCAGAAGCATGTCCCTGCTGTTGTCCTTCAGGCACCGCGCGGCCAGCCCTGTGCAGAGAGCTCCATCAGACCCACTGCTGCCCAGCACGCTCCCGGCAGCACGGCCCCGCCTCTGCCGGTTTGGCTGCACCCCTTCTTCCCCTCAGCAGGGTGACCCCAGGGAAGGACAGGACCCAGGGGGAGGTGGCACTGAGCAAGGTGCCACTGAGCCCCGCTGCGAGGGCAGGGGTTGGAGGGGGAAGCACAGATCCCCTGGCTGCACAGGCCTTGCACGGGGCAGTCGATGCTCTGGCAGCCACAGGGCTGCTCCTCGCTGCCAGTGCAGCAGATGGGACTGGGGCCAGGCTGCCAAAAGAGGGACTCCAGGGGCTGCGGCTTACCGATGAACCTCACGGCTGCCAGTCTCACGCTGACCTGAGCGTGCTGCAGGTAAAGCAGGCTCTGACCCACGTATTCTTCAGCTCTGCTCTGCTCCTGCTCCAGCTGGAAAGAGCACAAAGGCCCAGGGCTGACACAGAGCTTCCCCAGTCACCTGGGCTGTTCTCTCCTACCAGCACTCCACACCTCCCCTTGTTCCTCAGGCCGCATGCATCTCCCAGCCAGGAGGCCTGTGGGGCTGAGGCTCAGAGACAGCCTCAGGCAGAGCAGGGTCTGGAGCTCCTGAGAGCCCCCTGTGCCACCACCAGGGCCCAAATGGGCCTCCTGCAACAACCTGAGGGTGGGGAGGTGAGAGGACCACCCTGTGTCCAGCCTGGGACTTGTCCTCACCAAGAGCTCCACAGTTCTCCATCTCTCCAGTGTCTCCACATGGGGACTTAGCCCTTTGCATTTGAGCACCTTCGCAGCTGCCCAGAGGGCTTCCTGAGGGGCCTGCAGGGGGGGACAAGGATTGTTGAGGTTGTGGACAGGGATAGGGACCCAAAGGCCTGGCCCCCAGCACTTGCAGGGACAGTTGGGAAGCCCCTGCAGACTCCGCTCTTCAGGCCTTGGTGGTCATGCCCTGCTGCTGAGCCCTGCTGGACCACGTAGGGCAGGTGTGGGAAATGTCCGTGTCAGCTGCTCCTGCCCTCCCTGATGCCCAGGCCACCCCTGTGGGCTCAGCACGCCCTGCCCCGCACCACTGCTTAGGTTTGGAATCTGTACCTTGGCCACGCTCTCCATCTCATCACTCATGTGCAACACGAGTGGGACCAGGCTCCTCCGCACCTGCCTCTGCATCTGCCGCTTGTCCTTCCAATCCGCCATCTGTATTATGTCTTTGAAGAGGCAGATGGAGAGCTCTCGTATCTGGCTGCACTCCTGGTAAGGAGGAGGACAGGAGGACTTCAGTAACAGCTGCTCCCTGAGCCAGGGCATCAGCGTGGTTGAGGGGAGGGGCCTCAGGTCTCCCAGAGCCATCAGCCTGTGAGGGAGCAGCTGGGCTGGGATGCAGAGACCAGAAACCATCCCCACGAGAGCGCAGGGGCATGAGGAGGGGCATAGCCCTGAGCAAGCGCTGTCGCCAGGCTGTGCTGCCAGGCAGTTGTTCTTGCAAAGGGCCCATCAGTGGGACTAGGTTTCCACAGCAGCCTTACATCATCAAAGAGATGACGGAGCTGCCCGGCCAGCTCCAGAGCGATGGAGCTGGCCTGCTTCTTCAAATGACCCATCACGTTTCTGAATATGAGCAGGGCCCTCATCTTGTCGTCACTGTGGACACTGTGCAGGATGTTCGTCAAGTCTGGCAGCATGACCAGTATTTTCCTTGCCTGTAAGAAGCACAGAGTTTCTTTCTTGTGAAGTGGTGAAAGACCACCCAGGCCAAAATGCTCTGGCCGTTAAGCAGCAGCCTCCCGTCTGGGTGCATGGGAAGTGGCACAGGAATTCCCGCAGCAGCCTCCAGGCAGGCCTTGCCCGTGGGTGCACTGAGGGGATGGGGGCACGTGAGGGGACTTTGAGGGCATTTGGAGCCGTCACCCCAGCTCCCGACTCCCAGCCCAGGTCAAGCCACCGCGTTCCCCACTGCCCAGCCCCAGGCGGCCAGCATGGCTTCACTTGACTATGCCCTGCTCACCGAGTCAGGTGACTCTGACAGTGTGACGAGGCCATGGAGCAGCATGGAGAACAGCCTTGGAGGCAGCAGCAGCTTCCGGATTTTGTACACCCCAGCAAACATGTTTGGTGTCACATGGCTGGAGGCCAGCAGCTGAAACAAAGATGGCAGTGAGAGACCGACCAAGCCTGCAGGGCTCTCCGCACAGTACAGCCCCTGGGTCCCACTGGGGCTCAGGGCAAGGGCACCGGGGATGGAGAGCGTGTCCTAGGGGACACTCAGCGCTTGTGGGACACACCACACGCTTGTCTGTGCTGGTTCCGCCTGTGCAAGCAGAGCACTGCCTGGGCAGACAGGGGCTTTGTGCACCCGCACCCAGACAGCGTGGCCCTGCGTGGCTGGGGCAGGGGAACCTGGTGCTGGGCTGGCCCTAAGGGGCTGTGTCCTCCTCTGTGACCATTTGGGGCAGGTGGCAGGGGAGAGGGCCGTGCCTGTTTTCCTGGAGAGGCAGGCACGGCCCTGAGCACGAGCAAGGACCGGGCTGGTTACTCACAGCCAAGAGCTGGATGCACGCATCCACGCTGTGGGAGCTGAATCTCCATTGCACACTCAGGTAGTGGAACCTCATGTTCAGCTCCCTCAGGACGTTCTCCAAGATGAGACGCCGGGACAGCAGCACTTCCCACATGGCCATAGCAACACTGCAGACACAGAGCACTCTGTCGGCAGGGCCACCCCAGCCACCACACGGTGCCTGGGCCAGTCCTGCAGCAGCCAGGCTGTCCTGAAGCCCTGGCCCTTCCCAACCCCTTGCTTGGAGTGCCCGGGTCCCAGCCTGGGCAGGCAGGAGGCGGCTGAGATAGTGTTCCCCATGGGGTAGGGAGGAACCTCGTGCAGGGACTCGGATCTGGCTTGGCCAGCTTTGGCTACTGCAGGCCTGGCCAACCCAGCAGGGCTGGAGAGAGTGGTGGGGTTCAGGGCCCTGCTCCTCAGGGGTGCCCTGTAGTTTTCTGTGAGCCCCCAGGCCCCTCTCCCCACACGGAACAAACCCACAAGGGCTGTGGGGGTCAGTACCTGTCACATGCTGGAGACAGATGCACAAGTCTCAGGATCGCAGGCGCTGGCCACTGCTGTGCCATCTTTAGAAGCAGCATGTCCAGGGCGTGCTGCGTCGACGCTGTGTTGATGTGCTCCAGGTTGTTGTAGATGCAGGTAACGACGACTGGCACCTGGAGGGCACACGAGTGAGGGTGGTGCTGCCACCAGACTGGAGCCATTCCCTCAGCTGCCACTGAAATGGCCGCCCTTCCCGTCCTACTCTGCTGGCATGAAATGGCTTCAAGGTGCCTGAGGCACCTGCGTGAGGGAAGGCCCGATGTAGGGAGGAAGAGTGCCTGAAAGGGCTCAAGGGCAGGGCAGCCACACGCTGCTTACCTCTGTCAGCCAGGAGGCAGGATCTGTCATGGCCACATCCACAATGCTGATCAGTTCCTCCTTATCGCATATGCATGAGTCTCTCATGGCCTCGATGGCCTTGAGAAGGATGACCGTCTTATCAGGGGGGTGGAGGTATTCCCCAAATGCCTGCGGGAGGAAGGAAGGCAGGGAAGACGTCTCACACCGAGTGCCCTGATAGTGCTGCTCAGCAGCTGCAGTCGCTGCGGGGTGGAGGATGAGGAGAGAGGGGCCCAAGGTGAGGGAGGAGGGCTGGCGCCGTGGGCATGGTGTGCTGGCCCTACAGAGAAGCAGGGCTTCCTGGTGGCCAGGAGAGCTGGAGCTGCTGCTGGGACACCGGAGTGCAGCCCTCTGGAGTCCCTGCTCCAGAGCAGCAGCAACCCTCTCACCAGGGACAGTGAGACCATGCCAAGCCCGCTGGTTCTGGGCCCCTTTGCTCACACCAATCTCCTGCTGATGTCCTGGACAAGGCCCAGCAAGGGAGAAGCTCATTACCTTGACAATGCTCCTGGTGCTGCACAGGGAAAGCCAGGAGGGTTTCCTGGCTTTCCTTTTGCCGCCACGCAAAGGTGTGAGGAGATGCTTTAGGCTGTCCTCTGGTGATGTCACACCTAAACAAGAGGGGATCACAGAAGAGTCATTAGGACACAGCATTGCTTGCCATCAGTGACGGCTTTGGCTATGGGGACCATGGAACAGCTGGGTTCTGAGAGGTCCTGAGAAGAGTGGGAAGGAGAGCAGCACAGAACTGGACTTGTGGTGAGCATTCAGCTTCTGCAGTAAAACGATAGCTGGGATGCTGTGGGAAAGCAGCTGTGAGGGCCAAAGGAGGTGAGGGAAGAGGGCAGGCTTTCCTGGACAACTTCCAGCAAGTACAAAAGGAATCCACTGCAATGCTCGGGGAAACAAGCAGGACTACGAGGAGATGTCTGCGTGTGGAGGGACGCAGCCCGACACTGCTTCTCTTACATTTTTCCTGCTGGATGACTCTGAAGAGGTAATGAAGAGCATCCAAAGCCTCATGCTGGATCTCCCAGATCTTGCTAGTCCAGCAAACAATGAGATGTCCCAGCAGCTGTCCCAGGAGGCGGTCATGGATAGCGTCGCCGTGGGAAGAGCTGTTGTCATCTCCAAGCAAGCTCCAGACCTGGTCAAGGGAAGCAGGATGGGTAGAAGGGCTGAGAGGCAGCAGCTGCGACAAAAGCCCTGAACGGAGAGTCTGCCCCGGGGAAGGATCCTGGCAGGTCAGAGCTCTGCAGGGCCCTCCCAAAGCACCAAGTTGGGCAGCAGGGCAGGGAGAGCTGCCAGGCCTGGGCCCCCGCCATGCTCCTTGGGCAGTGCTGTCCTGCACAGGACCGGGGCCCGAGATGGCTCCTGGCAGAAAGGGCGCTGGGGAGGGAAGACCGTGGGAAAAAGAAAGAAGCCGAGACCCTTGCCCAGGGCAGAGCCGTGCTGAATGCCTCAGGCATCTCAAACTGCAGGCTGATGCCCACGGTGGGCAGGGAATGGGAGACAGCCTGGCTGGAGGGTGCCTGCCTCCTTACCTGCACTGAGGAAGAGCTGTCCATCAGATCAGCCAGCTTCCCAATCCTCACCACGGCCCTTTCGCATGCAGCTGCATTCTTAGTGTCGGTGAAAGGCAGCAGCAACTGGAAGGAGAGAAAGTGCTGCTGTGCCCTGGGAACGGGTGCCTTTGCCAGCAGCAGCAGCAGCCCTGCTCAAGTCCCGACTGGACCCATGAAGTCTTTGTGGCCCTGAAGGGAGGCAGATGCCAACCCAGGGTAGAGTCTGCTTCTTTCTGTGCCCTCCCCAAAAGCACAGGCCTGTGTCCCCTCTCCATGAAGGCTCAGCTCTTGGGCAGCACCCTGCCAGGGGTTGGAGGGGCTGCAATGGGGGAATGGGCATACGGCTCTCTAGGAAGCCAGGAGTGCAGAGCGTCAGGGCTGGGCTCCCTGTGCAGGAGAGGCAGGTTCCAGTGGGTCTCTGCCCCAGTCAGACCTGGGCAGAAAAGCAGGAGGGACTGCGAGGCAGGGGAAGAAGGACAGCACCCGCAGCCACTGCTGTGGTGCCTGAGGAGAGGGGTCAATGCTTCCCACTCCTTTGGTGCGAGGAAAGCTCTGGGGATGGAGCTGGCCCAAAAGTGCCATGGGCTGGGCTTTGCCATGGTACAGAAGGAGGCTGCAGAGGGGAAATGACGCTGACTGCAGCCAGGGTCACGCTGCTCCTGGAAGAGCACGGTGGGCCATGTCTGGGTCCCCCAGGGGAGCTGAGCACCCTTCCTGCGGTGTGCTGTGTGCGTGGTGCTGGGGAGGACACCGTCCACTCCAGAGTGGACACTCCTGTCCCTCCAGGGTGAGCAACAGCCCCTGCGAACCCCACTCTCTGCCAGTGCCGCACCTGCAAGATACTCTTCAGCTCCCCACAGCCAGGGGAGCTGAGCACCAAGCTCTGCAGCAGGATGTCCATGGCATCCAGGGTCTGCAAGGAGGAGAAAGGTTGTGTCAGTCTTTCTGCAGTCCCTCTCTCCCTAGGGACGGGTCTAACTCCCCCCGCCAGGGGAGGACACCCCTGCCACCTCTGGTTGGCTAAGGGAGGCCTTGGGGCAGACAAGCTGCGGTGGGCAGAGGAGCCAGTCCAGAGGCACTGGACATGGCGAGGCCCAGGGGAAGGAGACGAAGGGACGAGGGAGGGAAAGCAAAGCTGACACCCTGCCGTGCCTTGGATCTCTGGCTGTGTCTCAGCACGTGGCAGCCAGGGAGCAGCTCTGAGTGCTCCTGACAGCACAACAGCACTTACATCAAAGTAGAGGGAGCTGTCTAGGCCCTGCATGTCTGTTTTAGGAGGAAGCAAGAAGACACTCCTGAAGCAGGCCTCTAAAAGGCTTTCCTTCATGCCCCCCAGTGCCATCTCCACTTGGCTGAAAAGAGAGAGAGGGGGAACTGTGAGACGTGGGCGCTGGGAGCGCTGCCTCCATGCCTTGGGCAGGTGGACACAGACCTGTGGAGCAGAGGCCCGCAAGAGGGATGGAGCCCTGGTCTGCAGGAGCCAAACCAAGGGCTGAGCACATACATACCTCATATCGGCGAGGGCAAGCATGGCTTCCTGCCGCACGGCTGTGCGCAGGTGGTCCATGGGCTCCTCTTCCACCAGTGCCTGCAGAACACAACCGGGATGGGACCTGGTGGCCACCAGCACCAGGCTCTGCCCCCAGCCCAGCACTGGCCCCCGGCATGGCCCTGCTGCAGGGCTGCTCAGCCACACGCACATCCCCTCAGGCAGCTCAGTGTCTGTCCGTGCACGTTGGTCCCCACCCTCCCCCTGCATGGGCCCTGTGTGTCCTCACAGTGTGCTGGCGCCTGGCAACTTGCCCCCTTCCCCAGAGCAGCCGGGTGTGCCCTCACCTCGATGTTCTTTGGCACCTGAAATCGGTGATAGAACTCCTTCAGTTCCTGTGAGAAGCCCTCATCTCTGGCAGCCTCGCTCAGGGTGGAGATGGTCTGCAGGAACTGGATCTTCTGAGCCTCCTCCTGGGCAGCGGGGAGCAGAGACACAAACGGGCAGTGTGAGAAGGGGCCAGCAAGACTGGAACAGTGGAGCTGCAGTGCTGTGCAGGAACCCGGGGGAGCAGCCCCTCCCAGCCAGCAGCCCTGGCAGTGGAGCCGGTGGCCCCGTCAGGAATCACAGACACTGCTACCCTGGAAATGGCTGCAGTTACCTTCACTGAGCTCTCCAGAAAAGTCTGGATGAACTGCATGCACGCAGCGTGTTCCTCCATCATCCTCTTCAGACAAAGGTATAGGGTGGGGAATGAAGAATGTTCCAAGAAGTGTCTCGGCACCGCGGGGCTGCTGGGGCAACAGGGAGCAATGTGGGCTGCGCTCAGGGGTCTGCACCAGTCTTGCGCTCCCGCTCTGTCCCGTCACCGTCCTGCCGGACACTGCCACGAGGGGTATGAGCCGTTGCCTTTTATAGAGTGGCCGGGGGGGTCACCAAGGGCGCGTCACAAAGGGCACCATGGTGGGTCATAAAGGGAACGTCACCGAGGGCACCATGGTAGGTCATAAAGGACAGGTAACTAAGAGCACCATGGTAGGTCATAAAGGGTGCGTCACTAAGAGCACCATGATGGGTCAGAGAGGGCATGTCACTGAGGGCGCCATGGTGGGTCACGAGGGACATGTCACAAAGGGCTGGTCACAGAGGGCACCATGGTAGCCCACCACTCAGACTATAAGGGACAGGGTATTCCTGTGAGGGGCACAAGGCCTGTTCTCCCCTGGTCACTTGAGTCCCCTTGGGGTGCCCTGAGCCCCATGTTTTGCTCACGTCATATGGGGTCTTGTTACGGCAAGATAACTGGCATGTGTCATGATGTTCACAGCCAGACTAGTCAAGAGGTGTCAAAAAGACCTTGAGTAGAACTGCACGCGCACGATTCAGTTCAACGTGTGTTAAACTGAAAGAGAAAAAATTCTAAGGCAATGTTTTTCACTTGCTTTTTCTGTTTTTCAGTTACAAAAAAGCAATGATTAGGCTGCATTTTGTAGGAAGAAAATAACTGCCAAAAGCTTCAGCTAGATTTTGAAAATATTCTGTTTCTCTGGATGATAACCAGCAAGTTTTCTGCAGCAATGAGCTCTGCCATTTAGACTCGAGGAAAAAACGTTGCTTGATACTAAGATGTTCTGGACTAGCAGGTGTCAGTTGAATGTGATTTTTGAAAGCATAAGGAGTCTTTTGGCTACACAGCTACAGGTTGGGCAGAGAAGAGATTCAGAGCAGCCCTGCAGAGAAGGACTTGGGGGTGAAGGCTGATGAGAAAATGAACATGAGCTGGATTGAGTGTCCGCTTGCAGCCCAGAAAGCCAACCACATCCTGGACTGCATCAAAAGGAGCGTGACCAGCAGATCAAAGGAGGTGATCTGCCCATCTGTTCTGTTCTTGTGAGGCCTCACGTGGAGTATTGTGTGCAGTTCTGGTGTCCTCAACGTATGAAGGACATGGAGCCGTTGGAACAAGGCCAGAGGAGGGCCACGAGGATGATGAGGGGACTGGAGCACCTCCTGTATGAAGACAGGCTGAGAAAGTTGGGGCTGTTCAGCCTGGAGAAGAAAAGGCTGCGTGGAGACCTCATAGCCGCCTTCCAATATCTGAAGGGGGCTTATAATGATGCTGGAGAGGGACTCTTCATTAGGGACTGTAGTGATAGGACAAGGGGTAACAGCTTAAAACTTAAAAAGGGGAAGTTAAGATTGCATATAGGGAGGAAGTTCTTTACTATAAGGGTGGTGAGGCACTGGAATAGGTTGTCCAGGGAAGCTGTGAATGCTCCATCCCTGGTGGTGTTCAAGGCCAGGTTGGACAGAGCCTTGCAGTGACATGGTTTAGTGTGAGGTATCCCTGCTCATTGCAGAGGTGCTGGAACTTGATGCTCTTAAGGTCGTTTCCAACCCTAACTATTCTATGAAATAAAAATGGTGTGCCTAACTTCCCCTTCCCTTGTTTGATGACTTTGTACTTCTTGGTCTTCTGTTTATTACTGAGTCGAACTTAGTATGAGCAGGAGGATGAGACTCAGTCTGGGTAGTGCTGCAGTAAGACCTGCTATTTTCCCAGAGCACTGGTTCTTGGCAGGAGAGCAGTGTCTGTCTCACCTCTGGGACCTTCACTTCTGCCTTCTGTTGATACTTTTGAGGCTGGTAATTTTGAGCATTTTCACACATATGTGTCGCGACTGGAAGAGGGCTGTTGCCCCATCAGATATTTCTTCAAGCTTGTGGACCAGCCTCTTCAAGTCAAAATCACCATAGGCCATAGTGCTGGCAACAACACCATTTAAAAACTGCATCCAAGCATGGCTCTGTTTTGAACCTGAGCTGGGCAGTGGTTTGACTACAAACAAACTTTACAGACCTCTCAAATACAGCTTGGTCCCTGTGTCTATTTGATTTGGTCCATGCTGTTTTCTAAAGCAGTACAGAAAGAAGCTTCTTTGATCTGCATGCCCTGAAGACTTACGGTTCCAGGAGCTGGATTTTGATCTTGTGCCAGGAGAGTAACTTTGTAAATACTCTTCCATGGGGTAGCTTTTACTCTGCCTGGGCATCCTCTTTGTACCACTACTGGTAACAATGGATTTGCTGCTAGCTCAGAGTACCTTCCAGAACACTGTAGCCAGTCTGTATTGCTTTTGGTATTTCAAGAATCAAGTCATTTCCCTGAGTGTTCCTGTGATTTACAGAAGGCAGGTTTGAACAGATGTAGCAATAGGGCTCAGTTTGAGTTTGAAGAGCTTACATTGATACAGAGCAGCTATTTGCATTCTTATCAAAATAATAAAATACGAAACTTTCTAGAAGTATATAATCTTCAAAATGGTTCCTAGAAGATATTTTAATGTTAGCATGGGCACATGTGACGATTTAACAAGTTACCTTGAGGTAAGAACCTCGCATTTGAGGAGCCACGTTCAGCAGAGCATACTTTGAGGAAGCAGCCACCCCTTCTGGCTTGTGGGGTCTGTTAGCAACACTCAAGCCCCAGATTAATCTGTATTGTGAGTAATGAACAGAAGCAAAGCAAAAAGACTGTGCGTAGAGTGGGAAGGGAGGCTTAACAGAACTTGGTAAATTATTATTATTTTTTTCCTGATCTTCTTTCTAGTGTAATGGCCTCTGATATTTCCTCCCAATGCAAACACCCCACTGTCAATTGGACATGGGTATGGTGCTGCTTTATAATAAAATTATTTAGGGAGAGGAATTGAAGCTCTTCTTAGTCTTAATTTCTCTCCCTTCTCTGCCTCAGTCACCCTAAAAGAAATAAGCTCAGCTGACACTGCGTCAGCAGCTTCCTTGTCATGGAGGAGCAAGAGGAGCAGCAGTGGTGACACAGATGTAGCTGGAAGCTGAGCTGGTGAAAAGCAGGTACAGGAAGAGCAGATGGTTGAAGAAGTACCAAGGGAGTGTGTTCACAGCTGGGTTTTCTTAGTGCTCTGTTATGTTAGTGTCCTGAAATGTTCCTGTCTATGCCAGCAGCTGTGGGTGGGTGACGGGGGTATAGCTGCGCTGGGACATGGAACTATTCCCAGACATGTTGGTCCCACCTGGAACTTCACAGCCAAACATGCACGGAGGCATGTGAGTATCATGTTGGACTGGAGTGGGGGGGAAAGGATCACCTGATTGTGGAACTGGTGATCTCATTGTGTGTGGTGTTTATTTTCGGTGTTGGTTCAGAGTTGTCTGGGTGCTTTTGCTGTTTTCCAGTCAATAGTAAGGAGGATGAAAGCATATGCAGAATATGCGGCCTTCCCTTTGTTTTTCTCCATGCTCTGGTCACCCTGGTGTTTTGAAAAACATTGCGTGCCTCTTTGCATTGGAAATCACCATGGCCTCACGCAGGTGGTGTATTCAATAAGCCAGTCAAATTTTGTTATTTCTACACCTGTATATGGGATGCCTGAAAAATGTGACATGCCCGTCACATAAATAGGAAAACGGCTCTTGTAGGGGACTTGAGTGTAGCTGAAAGCCTCATCCAAATAACACTGTTAGTCACCTGCATATAGAAACATTTCAGTGCCACCCAAGTTTGGAAAACGTGGTTGCAACTAGCTTCCACATGCTGGATAAATGAATAGATACCAGATATTGTCTTACACGTTTGAGTCTTTTAGTAAAATCAATCTGCGACACAAATATTCTACAAATGGCAGTTGTGGGTGAAAGCCTGCATATGTGAAGATTAGTATTTACACAGGAACAGGGCTGGACCTGCACAGGAACAGGGTTGGGGTTTCTCTGATCATCTGAAGTTTCTGGTATTAGTAAAAGCCAGAGAGGTAGTGTACGTCATTGAAGATGCAGTTGTCAGAGATGGAATACCACATACTTTTAAGCTCTGGCTACTGTATCAGTAAAAGCTGAGTTAATTTTCTTAAAAAGAATACCTGGTAATACAACAGACTGATGACATCCGTTTTAGGCATGGATAATAATTAGGCACTCTCAAAATCCATATTTTCATTATAAAAATCTATGCGTTATATTCTGTGTCTGGTTTGGATTTTTTAAATGCAAAACCAGATTGCTCCGTGTGAAGTTCATACCTCTCATTCCTTGTAGCTTGCTTCATCTCTAAAACCTT